TTTTTTTCATTTAGCAACTGACAGAAAAAGAGACATTTTGTATGTGCATGGTTTAATAATAGTTTTCCGCTTTAAAGCTGTTTCTGTCCTATTCAACACAGCATAGGTGGTAAGCTTATTGCTCCCATCTGAATAACACTAAAGGGTGTTTGTCTTATGACATGGCTCAAAGTCCTATTTATTCTCCCAGGGCCCTGTTTGCTGCCCACTACACCCACTACTCTTGCTCTTCTGAGGATGACATCACTGCTGGACAGTATTTGTGTTTCAGGTGTGATTAATCTCCTCAGTAGGAAGTTGGCAGTGAGAAGTTAGAAGTTGCTGGAACAGAGTTTTTACTTTTTAGAATTTTTCCTGTTTCCTTTTAGAAAGTCAGACGATGTATTTTGTATCTTGTTTGTGATAAGGATCATATGTCTGATTCTCCATCAGTGAGTGACCTAATAGCCATTATTCAAACATTCTCCTAGTGAAACTTGCCAAAGAGGTGCTCTTTGTATGACCAATGCAGGAGTGGTCCAGGAATTCCACTGCTTCATCAGAGATGGTGAGAACTCAGCATGTCCTGTAGAGGTGTTGAAGATAGTCAGGTGCAACGAACAGTGCATGGTGAATGGGATAACAGGAAGTCAAGATTCTCTATTTATTAATTTCTCATTTAGTAAAAAAAAAAATGTCCCGAGCACCTACTTTATGCAAGACATTATCTCTTGGAACCAAAAAGTAGAGGTAACACAACATGATGAATAGATAAATCATGGCTTATGATATAGTGATTTGTACTGATTGGAAAAATAGAAGAAGAAATGGAGATAGGGAATGTATAAGTAAGCACGTGCATGTGTGTGTCAATTGCGGCAATGTTAGATAAGATACTCGAGATAGGTCTTACTGATACGATTCTTAAGTTTGAGTGAGGACATGAAAGAAGTAAAGGAAGGAATTACAGGATTTCTGGGGCTGGTTGGAAAAACAATTGCCAAAAGCTCTGAAACAGGAATGTACCTGGTCTGTTTGAGGAATAACAACAAGGCCAGTGTGCCAGGAGAATAGTAAGCCAAGGGGTGAGTAGTTTAAGGGATTAGCCCAGGGGAGGTGCAATGTGCATGAGCTAACACAGAATCTCATAGGTAAAGATTTTGATTTCCACCTAGAGAGAGAAGGTGGGCCATTGTCAAGGTGTTATGTGAAGGAATGACCTGATTTGTGTTAAGTATGAACCAAAGTTGGGTTAAGGAGTGACATTATAGAGATGAATTAGGAGACAGGTGCCTTAGTCCAGCTAAATTTGTCAGGGAAATGAGAAGCAGTTTATAGGCTATTTATGGTCTGTAGCATATCCTTTACAAGCTTAGTTCCAATGACCAAAGCCAAAATTGGCCTAAGCACTTCATTGTTTACCCAGAATCAGGCAGGCACAGAGAAGCAAGTGGAAACCCTTCCAAGTTCAAGTATGTAAAACAGCAAGTTGCCTCGCTCTCTGCCACAGCTCTCCCATAAAGGATTCTTGTGTTTACGTTGCTGCTGGTTTGTGGTTCCTTCCTGTAACTGCTTTAAAAGACCCATTGAGTGTGTATTTCCCTTCTTACATTTTTACTGTAACAGCAACCTACCTATTAAATTTATTTAGGGTCTTTGCCCATTCTAACAATTAGTTTAAAGTTTATAGGAAATTATAAATCTCCCTACTGGATCAGATCTTGAGACAGGAAAGAAATGCTAGTGAAAACACTGAATAAAGTGTGTGGCTTGGTTAACAGTATTGTATCAACTTGGAGTGTATGGTTTAATAAATATATCACAGTTAATATGGTACATATAAAATGTTAAAATTAGGAGAGGACAGTTGAATGATATGTATGAGCAATCTTTCTTCCTTCATTTCTTAAATTTATTTTTCATGATACCGTTCCTTAGGCTCAGGGATTGCCCTTCCATCCTTCCCCATTGCCTCTCCCCACTGTTTTCCCTTTTGTTGTACCAATAGTTTAGTTCCTCATCAACAGTCACAAGTCCATCATTCTGCTGTTTAAAGTGTATCCTAACATGGTAGGTAGCATTCTCATGTCAAGATATATTTAACAGTTTCATTGGGAGTCATCATTTAAGTCAGAAGTGGAGTTGCATATTACAATGTATCTCCACCTCATGGTGTACTTGCCTCCATTATACAGATCCTCTAGATAAACCACTAATGGAAGTTAGTATGGAGAATGACAAGAGAACTGGAAATTGATCTGCTGTATGATTCAGCTATGTTGTTCATAGGAATATATCCAAAGGAAATGAAATCTGCATATGAGGAAGTGATCTGTAATCCTAAATTTACAGCATCACATCTATAACAGCAAAGATATGGACGCAACCCAAATGCCCAACAAAAGAGCAGTGGATAAGGAAACTGTGCTATAACTACTCCATAGAGTACCACTCCGTCATTAAAAAGAATAAAATTCTACCATTTGTGACAAAAGAGTCCTCACTAGAGATCATTATGCTCAGTAAAAGAAGTCCAAAAAGGACAAATATCGTATGTTCTCTCTAATGTACTGCAACCTTCATGCAAAATAAAAGATCAATAGAGATATATGTAAGTGTGTATATATACATGAACTTTCTATTACTAGCTTTCCTTTTTTTTTAATAAAGATTTATTTTTATTTGAAAGGCAGATATTACAGAGAGAGATTGAGAGACAGAGAGAGAGGCCCCCCATGATTGTTCACTCCCTGAATGCTCATAATGGCCACAGCTGAGCCAAAGACTTGGGCCTTCCTCCTCTGCCCTCCCAGGTCATATGCAGGGAGCTAGATTGGAAGTGGAGCAACTGGGACACAAACCAGCGCCCACATGGAATGCTGGCACCACAGGTGGAGGATAAGTGTGCTACATCATTGTGCCATAACTTTCTAAAAGTTATGTGGTTCTAAATTATTTAAAAATAAACAAGATATGTCTTTCAAATATTTATTTTCTTTATTGGAAAGTTGGATTAGCAGAGAGAGAAGGACAGATAAAGATCTTCCATCTGCTGCTTCATTCCCCAAGTGTCCTCAATGACTAGAGCTGAGCTTCTGGGTGTCCCACATAGGTGCAAAATCTCAAGGCTTTGGGCTATCCTCTACTGCTTTTCCAGGCCACAATAAAGGAGCTGAATGGGAAGTAGGGCCGCTGGGATTAGAACAGGCACCCATTTGGGATCCCAGCTCATTCAAGGTGAAGACTTTAGCCACTAAGTTATTGCACTGGGCCCAAAATTGTTTTTTAAAAAATGATTTTGAATAAGAAAAAAAAGTCACACAAGCATGAACGTTTGAAAGAATCTCTTGAGATTAATTGGCCCTTACATCTGTATTTTGCATTTCTAGTAATTTTGGAGCCTATTAAGAACTTGGTTTTCACTACATCCCTTGGCAGGTCTATATCCCATCTTGGAATGATTGCATTTGAATCCCATCTCTGATTTGAATGTCGCTTCCTGCTACTGTGCAACCCAGGTGACAGCAGGTGATAATTTAAGTAATTAAGTCCCTGCCATCCATGTGGGAGACATGGACTGGGTGCTGGTCTCCTGGCTTTGTCTCAGCCCAGCCCTGGCAATTATGAACATTTGGGGAGTGAACCTGTGGATAGAAGAAATCTCTCTGTCTCTCTGTGGTTGTCTACCTTGCAAAGAAATAATGTTTAACAATTAGAAGATAAAAGAATTTCCACTGCTGTAAATTAAGCCCATTGTAGATAGTTGAAACAGATGCAGGCAGACTAGTGCTGCTCATAAGCCAAGAACATTTTCATGGGATGTTTAACATGCAAAGAATGAGACCAAATTACTAAGCAATTTAATCAAATGGCAGGAACACATCCACATATAAAAAGCATGGGGGAAGTGGAGTATCTAGCGAGGGCCTGCCTGTTGACTGAGCTGTCCCAGGGACAAAAAGGGAAAGGCATAGTCTTGGAGTTTCTTAGCAAAGCACAAAATGCTTCCATGACTGGTTGAGCACATTTTTTTTCTACAAGAATAAGGATTGCTTACCCCCAAGTGCCCTCTGGTTCCTCTGGCTTCTCCCACCGTGGCCTGAAGCAACCTTTGTTTTCAGAGTGCTACACGGCCACGTATAGTACTGGCTTGGCAAATATACCTACCACTGTCCATTCCCCACTATCACCCCAACCACCATATCTGCACAATGACCAAAGCCAGTTTTTGGCTTCTGGAATGCTGAAGAACTGGAATGGTGCTTACATCCATCCCAGACTGCACTTTGTCCTGACATCCTCTGCCAAAAGGCAGGCTAAATTGATGGGATAAATCTACCCTGTCCAATTCTAGTCATTGTTCTAGCACACTTTTTTTTTTTCCTATGGGGAAAAGGCGATAGCAACAGCATTGAATAGATCTGAACTCTGTGCAATAGTTCTTTTTTATGCCAAAAGTTAGATATTTTAAAGTAGGGATCTGGGACTATTCAGCTGTTTCCATTTTAGATCGTGAAGTGAAATCTAATAGAAGCACTCAGAGGTGGAAAGGTTAGTACTTATTTAAGGAACCAATGTAGCTTCTGACATCCCACAGTTCTCTGCATTATGGAAATGTGTTTCTTCATGATTCTGCATAGCATGCTCTGATTTGGAAAGCAGCCAAGCCCTTCCATCATCTTGCATATCGATTTGCAAATAGCAACAAAGCTGAGTATAGAAGACAGCAAGACATTTTATACAGGGTATCAGGTTGTCCCTATTTACAGAATACCTTGACAGATACAGGCTCCTGTGATCATTTTACTAATTATAAATGAAAATATTCTTCCAAGTGTTTTAAAAATTTTCTATTTGGGGTGTCAACAGTGGTCAGCAGTTTTGGGTCAGGTCACCCACACTGAGAACCAAATCTTCAGCTCTAGTAATTTCTAAGAGGAGATTACATGCTCATCTTCACTACCTGAGGCTGGAGGAAATGGAGACCCTCTTATGTCACCTTTCATGCAACCTTTCCTCACCTCCCCCCAGGCAGCAGGCGGGGGCTCCACTGGAGGGTAATACTTAGGCACGTCCCAGGCCACCGCAGCCATGAACCATTTGAAGTCCTTGCACTTGAGCTGCTTGCGCAACTCCTTCTGGGCAGAGATGTCTCCCGTGGAGAGGTGTCTGTATTCAGGCCGCCGTTGGTAAATGTACTCCGCAAATTCATCCATCCAGGTCTCAGCCACCCGCTTCAAGTTCTGTGCATTAGGAAAAAAGAAATCATTTATTGGCTTATGCACTCAAAGAGTGGTTTTAGTTGCACCAGAAAATTGAGAAAAGAAAAGTACAAGAAATCAGACAACCTCCAGTAACTCTGACTGGTGGCTTGTTAACAGAAATTCTGTAATTGCAACCAGTGTGATATGCTTTCCCTGCAGCTTTGCACACATTCTGCCCGGGCATGGGGTTCAATTGCTAATTTCGTAATTAATCAGAGCCAGTAATGATTTAGCTCACAGTTCTGTCAGTTTTCTCACTCCTCTTGTTATTTCACAACCATTATTTTTAAAATTATTTTTCGTGTGCAGTTAAAAGAGCTCAAACTGGAGAGAATCAAGTTCCTCTTTGTCAATAAATTTGCAAATACTTTTTCAACAAATAGGGATTTTGGAAAGAAGGAAGATAAACAAGTAGTTATTCTGATATCTCAGTGATGGAGAACTTGACATTATTAATTAAAAGCCTTGTTCTCTGATGGTTTATATGAGCAAATGGATGCCAGGAAGAACTTGTAATTTATGGATAAATTGGGACAAAGGGAAGCACTAAGTGAAATTTATGGACAACTTGAGGCTAAGGGAAGCGCAAAGTAGCCAGCCAGTCTTCTGCTCCCATGTTTCCTTGGGGTGAAAAAAGTGAAAGGTTGATGACAGGGAAATAAGGATATATCTGGTCCAGTCTTTGTTAGTTTGAGGATTGAACAAAATACTTATCGATAATGGCTGTCAGATTCCTTCATTGAAAAATGGCAACAGAAATAAGCACCTACATCATGGAAGTGGTTGCCAGAAAATGTAAGTAGGGTAAGGTCTGTAAGGCACTGAGAATCATTCCTAGCATATGATAGGTTCCATGAATAGTAAAGCTGGTAGGAGTAGGATCTAGAGAGAATATGGGATTGGAAATTGGAGAGCTCGTGTGTTGGACTTGGTTCCTGTGGCCTTTGAGAGGAGCTTTAGTCGAGAATAAATGTTATCTGCTAACCCTTCAAGCTCTGTAGTGCTAACTGGTAGCAGAAACAACTTCTCTTGTCTGGAAGATATATATCTGGATGGCTCCAGACCTTAAGCTGCACTTTGAATTTGTGGATTGCTCAAATACTCTAAAGAAAGCAACAGAATCATGGACAGACTCTAAGGATAATGTCAGATTATAGATTGCTTTTTAAAAGGAGGATAATTTTTCAGGCAATGGTAAAAGAAAAAAAAGAGCACAATAATTGCAAAAGCAACAAAAACTAGTTTGTCTCTAGAAAAGAATATGTAACACTGAAACATGAATAAAGCTTCTGACTATTCTTTAATATGCCTGATAATATCCTGGTTTATAGATGATCTATCTATTCTGCAGCAAGAAAGGAACTTTGTGAAGTATCAGCTATTATATCAAGAAATAGTCTTTAATGCTCAAACCATCCATATTGTTGGCCAAATAGTCACTGAGGTCATTAGTCTGCAACTGTGCTTAATGTTGCTTTTTCACTGTTAGCCTGACTGAGTACTTAGCTTTTGGGAAAACATTAGAAACACAATTGAGAAATATTGCAAGCAATTGCAATAAATTATTTCATTGATGTTCCATGGATTGTACTATAAATTCATCTACTTCAGGACATGGAATAGTGATATGCTTACTTGAGGCCCAGCCTAGTGACAGTGCTGCAAGAGGACCCCGGTGACTCTGTGTGCTTGTCTAGGGAAAGGTCCTGAGAATAGGAGACCTGGAGACCTCTTAGCCAGTACACAGACTCAAGCAGCTGCTTGGGCAGGATGTACCTAAGGTCCTTCCTCCTGGGGCTTAGTGTGAGATCGCTGCTGGCTGAGGGCTAAGACATGCTAGAGGCTCGCTCTTCAGCTTCTCTCATCTCCTTGTGTTTTTCAGTGTGAAGAGCTGCCCAACACTGCATCCTGTTGCCCTGTGCCCCAGGTGAGTGCATGGTGGGAGTCACAAGGCCTGTGTATGGAAACAGTGCTGCTAAGAGGGTCACTTAAAGCCAAAATTTTTATTAGGCAGGTTTTATAGAGAGAAGGAGAAACAGAGATGGGGAGAAAGAGAGATCCTCCATCTGCTGGTTCACTCTGTAAGTGGTCTCAAAAGTCAGAGCTGTGCCAGTCCAAAGCCAGAACCCAGAAGCCTTTTCTACAGCTCCCACGTGGATGTACAGTCCCAAGGACTTGGTTCATCCTCTGTTGCTTTCCCAGGCCACAAACAAAGAATTGGCTAGGAAATACAGCAGATGAAACTCAACTTGGTGCCCAGATGGGATAGTGGCACCACAGGTAGAGGCTTAAGCTGCTGCATCACAGTGCTGACACCAATACTTGCAATTATTAATAGTGCTTGAATTGCACTGACAGTAAAAAATCATATACTATATACCTGAAATTCAAAGTTAGGCATTCTATTCCTTATATGTGTAAATTACATATAATATGTACTCCATGAATGTTTTTAAAAAATTCATGCATTATTTGTGCAGAATCTGCCAAATAATGCTATTGCTAATAAATAGTGCATGCTTTGCTTCTGTAGGAATTATTCCAGAAAAGTTTTAAGTAATTCTCTGCAGAAGAGTCTGGATAACACACAGCTGATGTAATAGAAACACATAACCCCATTGTTTTTGGTTTCTTACAGGTGGGATCCTACTGGTCCTCTATATGTGAAGCAAGCAGGGAGCCAGTCACGGAGCTCAGGGAAACAGCATTGCTAATTGGTAAGTGGAGGTGAGGTCTCAGCATGGCTACACTGCCCTGGTTAGGGTTTAACTTTAGTCTGCAAATAAGCAGGGCAAGGCCTTCTGTGTCTTTATGGGAGCTGGATTTAATTCGGGCCCAACTTTAGACAAGGGAGGATGTGGGAGAGAACAGCATCCCATTCAGATACACCTGCTGTGCATGCAACCAGTACAAAAGTTGGGTTGCAATTTTAGGAAACGATAGCTACTGAAGCTAGGGAGTAAAGAAACAATGTTTTTTATTTTATGTAGACAGCAAATGAAGATTTTCTCTTTTTAAATGTTGCAAACCTTCATACTTTTAAAATGATTAAATGAAATAGAAACTATATGTTACTCTGGGCACTTTCTGCAAGTCCTTTAGTGGTTCTCTGTGTATCACTACATAGTTCTATATTCAACGTAAGCTGGAATTAACCTCTCCTTTTCTTTTGTCACCTAAATCTTTATTAATGCACTTAGCACATCTAGCCCTATGTTAGAGGGCTTTAGAATTCAAGTTTGCCTGAGTTTCTCACTCTGTAATACTAAATCTTGCCTAATTCTAATGTTCATCATGTCTTTGGATTGATGTTTTATCAGGGATGATAATTTGCATCTGTGGCTCTCTTTATAAGAACAAATTTCCAGCTCTAACTGTTCATCTTTACTGTGTGACATGAGGAAAAGAGACAGTTCGATTTTTTTTCTGCTAGTTCATGGAACTGAATAAATCTATCCACTAATTATTATTTTTTGCCATTCACATTTTAGAACCTCTTGTTCTGTTATTTAAAAAATTAAACCTTGGTTCAATTTTTTAGAGTATTATTATTTTTCATTTGTGTTATTTGGGCCACCGCACTTCATAGGCATGCTTTTGTTTCATTGTACAGTGTGTGCTTATTACATGTGCACTGATGTGACCCCAATCCACACACTGCATCTGTGTCAATATTAAGCTGTGGTATTATGGCAGCTTGAGTGATAGATTTCTTTTTCTTTTTTGGGCAATATATATATTTATAATATATATAAATATATATATATATATATTTAGTGGTGTTCTCCAACACACTGGTGTTAGCTAGCTAGCAAAGGCAATCTCAAGCAGCAACAGTTTCTTATTTGTCACAGTCACTCCTACAGAAAGGAATTGCAGCACTATCCTGTGACAGTAAAAATTCTGCTTTGATTTGAATGCATTCCTTGACTCCCCTTTGATGCATAAGCATGCTTTAGTGGCTCAGTGGCCCCACCCCAAGCTCTCTTATCATTGATAATATGATAATGTCATCATGGGTACAGCTCAAAAGAGAATCTCTTCCAGAGAGCCCCAACCTTACTACAGTTATTCAGGGGAGCTCCGCTTCTCTCTGATCTATGGACTTCTTTGAAGTCGGTGGGAAACCTTCTGATAAGGAACTTATTATTCCTAGGGAGAGGAGACTAATCTAGCCCTGCAAAGGAGACTTCTCTGACAGACAGTTTCCTCCTCTCTCCTCCTCAAGGCTGTGGGAGCTGTTTGCAGGTTGTTACCTCCTTCTGACTGTCTTGAGCAAGGGTCAGATTTTTCTTTGTTTATATATCTCTATCCCTAATCTATTATTTTTTATATTGATGGTGTATTTACTGTAGCATCTAGTGCAGCCTTTAGAAATAGGGTGAACAAGCAAAATCAACTCAACTTCCAAAATATTTAGCAACATATCATCAAAAAGGTTTGTGTTCCTAATTTAAGAACAATATTACTAAAGAATAAAAATTCACTTATTTGAGAGTTAGAGGGAGAGAACATTATTCTAATCCCCAGTTCACTCTCTAAATGCCAATAGGGATGGTTCAGGCAGAAGCCAGGAACCAGGAGCAAGGACCTCAATCCAGGCGCCCTACATATTGTGCCAAGGATCCAAGTACTTGTGCCGTCATCTGGTGCCTGTTTGTTTTCAGAAAGCTTGAGTCAGAAGCTGCATGTGGGTATCACATCCAGGTACTCTGATACGGGAACAGGCATCTTAACTGCTAGCCCGAATGCTCACATCATCTGCGCAGTTACAAGTGTACAATTTGATACACTTAACACATTCGTATATGTTAGTGAAGCCATCACTGCAGTTAAGTAATGGACACATCTATGACCTCCAAACTTTCCTTCATGCCTCTTTGAAATTCCTTGCCTGTCTGCATTCCAACCAGTGATAATACTTTTTATTGGTACAGTTTAATTTGTATTTTCTAGAATAATATCATATCACACATTGGTGTTTGTGTCTGGCTTTTTTTCTAAAAAGAGACAAGGGGGGGGGGGAGAGAGAGAAGAAACAGACAATGAGAGAGTTTTCATCCACTGATTCACTCCCCAAATTCCTGTAGTAGCCAGGGCTTGGTTAGGCTGAACCCAGGACATGGAGCTCTTCCATCTAAGTTAGTGTAGTAACATGTATCCACTTTTTTGTATTTAATTCTATGAATATACAATTTATTTATCTGTTTACCTGATGTTGGTCAAGTGAATTGTTTGCATTTTGGGCCGATTACAAATAAAATTGCTATGAACAATCTTCCTAAGTCTTGGTCTGTATGTTTGTTTTATTTCTTTTGAGAACATATCTTGAAGTAGAATGGGCATAATAGGTATGTATCCAACTTTTAAAGAAATTACTAAGTTATTTTCCAAAGTGGCTATGTTCTTTACATTTCCCTAAAGACTAGTAATATCATGCATCTTTTTATGTACTGTACTTATTTGTCATTTGTATGTATTGTCTTTGGTGAAGTATCTGTTAAAAATCTTTGGCCCATTTTAAAGATTGGTTCCTTATATTGTTGAATTTTAAGAATTATTTATTTGATTTATAAATCATTTATTAGAAATACACTCTCCAAATATTTTTTTCAAGCACTTGCATTTTGTTTTGTTGTGTTAATAGTATCTTTGTAGAGCAGGTAGTCTTGATTTCAATGAAGTTCATCAATTTTTTTCTTATACGGATAGAGCCTACAGTATCTAAGGCATTTTTGCCTTACCTGAAAAAATTATTTCCTCATTTTCTTTTCTAGAAACATTTAAATTGTATTTTTAGATATACAACATATTTTTAATTCATCATTTTGTATATGGTACAAGATGCAATTTTTAAAATATATATGTATTTTTTGGAAAGTCAGATATACAGAGAAGAGGAGAGACAGAGAGAAAGAGCTTCCATCCGATAATTCACTCCCCAAGTGACTGCAACGACCGGTGCTGTGCCAGTCTGAAGCCAGGGGTCAGGAGCCTCCTCTGGGTCTCCCACACAGAATTCCAAGGCTTTAGGACGTTCTCCTCTGCTTTCCCAGGCCACAAGCAGGGAGGTGGATGGGAAGTAGGGCACCCACATGGGATACTGGAGCATGCAAGGCAAGGACTCTAGCTGCTAGACCACTGCGCTGGGCCCAAGATGCACAATTTATTTACCTTTAATTTCTAGCTATCTATTTTTTTGTATGATATGTTGGGGGAAAAAACCTATCATTTTGGGGTTGGAGTTGTGCCACAGTAAGTAAAGGCACCGCCTGCAGCAGAGGCATCCCATATGTGTACTACCTCATGCCCCAGTTTTTCTGTTTCTGATCCAGCTTCTTTTTAATGGTCTGGGAAAGCAGCAGAAGATACCCCATGTGCTTGGCTTCCTACTACCTACAGGTGACATCATGATGGACCTCCTGGCTCTTTGATTCATCCTGGGACAGCCCTCGTTCTTGTAGCCATTTGGGGATTGGACCAATGGATCCAAGATCTCTCTCTCTCCATCCATATCTCTCCTTCTCTCTCTTTGTAACTCTTCCTTCCAAATAAATAAATCTTTAAAAATAAAAACATGCTGCTTTGGTTTTCTACCATCACTCAGGTTATACAACATCAAATGGAAATACTTTTTCTACCTCAACCATCACAAAACCAAGAGGTAAACTTGGGTTGGATTTTCAGTTGGGAGTGGAAATCTTGCCACTGATCAGTAAACTATGAGAAACAAGGGTAATTAGAATGGAAATGAAATAGCAGGGGCCTCAAGCAAAGTATCACCGTGTATTCACACATCTCACGGGAAGCAGCTTATTCCACAAAATGAATTCCTCCTACCCACGAGCTCCTGTGGCTTCACCATCCAACTGGGCACTTGGAAAACAAAGTTATAAAGCACCTGTTATTCCTTAGAAGTGTTGCATTTTTGGTTATTGAGACTATGGCATCCTGAAATATTTTAATTTGCTTAAATTTCAGTTTCTTAATTTTGTAGCAGCAGGAACCTATTTTATCTGAGCAAGCTTTCTTTCTGAGGCCCCAGTGGAGAAATGGATGCAGGATAATGTTCAATTTTAATGGACAAAATGATAAAAAACGCAATTAGAATTCCCCCTAGACTACAAATAGAACTCACCATGTAGTTTTGTTTCTCAAGTGCTTTGAACAAAGAAAACTATATAATGCTAAATAACAATGTAAACTGCTAAAGTGTCTCTAGCTGTAGGCAGATGTCTAGGTTGCCTTGTTCCTAGGCAAGTGTTACACTGCAGGCAGAAAAGCAGCCAAGGCTGGCAGGCATTCTGGGCCTAGTTCATGCCAAATTTGTTTTAACTATACCGATGTGCCAGCATGGTTGACTACCCTATTCCATTTTTTCTGTTTTAAAAGATATGTGGGGAAAGCTGGATGGGGATATGCTGCTGTAGCCCTCAGGTGGGGGGCATGTACTGCAGATTGCCTGGGGAAGGGAGTCTAGGGATGTATTGCAGTGGGAATGGCTAAGGGCATGTTTGACAGGGCAGAAATGACTTTTGGAGGCTTCCATGGACCCGGCTACTTCATTTGCAGATAGATTAGGGAGTTTATAGAGCTTTGGAGAGGGTGAATTGAAGGGCATGTTTGAGTCAAGCCAGGTACCTATCCACATGTGAGACCTGGGCTGGGCTAAACTGCATCGTCTGCCACCTACAAGTGTACATAAAAGCCGGGACTGTGTGAGTATGCCTTGCTGGGCTAAGCCACAGCACCTGGCTGTGTGTCAAAGCAGGGGTAGACCACATCAGGCTGGGCTGTAACACCTATCAGAATGTGACAAAACTGAATCTGGGGGCAGGGGCAGATCCTATAGGGGACTGGTGGGCTTGTGCCTTTGTGGACTGCACCACCTGCTGGTTTATATGAAGAGCTGGACATGGTGACCAGCCAAGCCAGGCTGCAATATTCACCAGCATTTGTGTGGGCTGGGTCTAGAGACAGGCTGGAGTGAGTCATATCATAGCACCCACTGGAGAGTCAGGACAGGATGTGGGCTGTGCCTAGCTGGGCTAGGCTGCAAAACTTGCCAGCAAGAGCTGAGATGGTGGGTGGAACATGCCAGGATAGGTTGAAGTACCTGTCAGCACTAATATCTGTGGCTGGGAATGGGCTTGAGGGAGAACTCTGGAGACGCCATTGTTAAGCTAAAGCTTCCAGTGGTGAGCTGGGGTTGAGGGTGACTGTGGGTGTGTGGGAGCTGGGTTTAGGGGCAGGCCAGACTAGGCTAGGCTGTAATACTTGCTGTCACTTGTGAGAGCCAGAATGGGTATGGGGCAATCTGGGCTAGGCCAAAGCACCCAATGGTAAGAGCCAGAATGGGTAAGAGCAAATTAGGCCTGGCCACAGAACCTGCTGGTGAGTGCCAGGACTATGGGCTGGCCACATCAGGCTGGGCTGCAGTACCCACTGGTGCATAGGAGATCCAGTAGGGAAACTCAGGGGAACTCCTTTGCTAGATTGTAGCTCCTCATAGTGAGTGCAAGACCAGGAGCTGGGGGCAGACCAGGCCAGGCCAGGCTGTGCTGTAACACCCTTCAACATGTATGCGAGTCGTATCCGGGGTGACTTGAGCTGGACCAATTTACTGCGTACACTGGTATGGCCAAGACCCATGATGGGATGCAGGCTAGGTTGAGTTGGATCGTAATACCTGCCACCTCACAGGAGGGCTGGGTTGGGCCAGGCTGAACTAGGCTGCTGTACCTGCTGATGAGAGCTGGAACTTATAGTTCTAACTGGAACTATATCTGTGTGCCAGGCTGGAACTGGAACTGGGAGTGGGCCAGGCTAGCCAGGCTGTAGCACCTGTTGGCAAATGCCGAGACTGGAGGCAGGCCCTGTGAGGCTGAGATTGTAGAATCTACTGGAATGCAGAAGACCCAAGGCTAAGAGCAGGATTAATAGGGGAACTGTGTAGATTCCCTTTCTAGATTGCTTCTTCCTCTGGTAAGCATGAGAACTGGAACTGGGGCTGGGCCTGGCTGGACTAGACTGCAACACTGCTAGCAAGAACTCCCCTGTTAGGCTGCAGTTCCTGTGATGAGCACAAGAGCCATGGCTGGTGGTGAACTGGGCTGAGCAAGGCACCAGCATCTATTGGGGTACATGTGGGGTGGACCTGGGGGAGTGTTGGACTGAGCTAAGCTGCAGCACCCTCGGATGTGCACCCAGATGGGATTCAGAATGGACCAGACTAGGCTATAGCACTCATCAATTTGCATGAGAGATGGCACTGGAGGTGGAACTGACCAGGCAGCTGCATTCAGGTAGCAACTGAGGTGGCCCAGTCCTGACACATGCACACCAAGGTTGGACCACATATATTGTGATTTTTCCCCACAACCAGGGTTTTAGTTTAGCCATCTAGTTGGGGAGCCCCTCAAGAAACCTCAGCTGGTGTGACCTCAGATTTGATTCTTGTGTGAGCCAGCCAATGCAGGATCAGGTTCAGTCTGTCCCCTGCGCCAGACGATGTACATACTGGTGAATGCAGCTTCCTGGTCAGTTCCACCTTCAGTGCTTCATGATTTATTGAATCATTATTATCACATAATAAATTCATGACTGATTTTCAGGAAGGATATCATAGTGAATGAGGAAATAATATTAGTAAAAGATGCCAAGCATTCTTAAATCAAAAGTTGCATCTGAATAGATGGTAATGTAGTTTAAAAATATGATCACGAGGGGAATGAAGCAAACACAGGATTGCAGTATGTGAAGCATCTAGTTTTTTGCCACAGGCATTGGACAGCCTTACTGCCCTTTGGGTTTTATTGTCGGGAGGGATTAGAGATGGCTGTTGTTTTCAGAGGGATTGTTTTGCAACAGAAGCTCTAGCTGTTTATGCAGGCTGAGCGTTTGGGGGACGAATTCATCATTTCCTGCTTCTTGGAAGAAATCCCATTACAAACTACTATGTTCCTGAACTCAATGATAGCTTCAAACAAAGCATCTGGCTCTATGGTTTAACAGCAGTAGAAAAACAGGCTGGTTGCTATTGATGTCCAAGGTTGTGATGTTACAGCTCTTATTTGCTGGGCAGCTTTATGAGGGCAAACTGATTCACAGTCTTCAGGGCAGAAAGGTCAATTTTTAGGAGTGTAGATTTCCCATTCATCACAATCCTTTATAGCCCTGTTGGTAATTTTATTTTTAGATATCAAACTAGTCATTTCAGTCTGGTTAATGCCTTTTTTCAACTGATACATTTTCCGACATAAACAAGGGGGAACTGCATATGGCAGTTACTGTGCTCTTTGTAGGCAAGGACAACTGACACATGGTCAACAAAGAGGTATTCACCGATGGACTTGTGTGGCCTGGCTTCGGTAGCTGTTCTCCTCCTTTGCCTCCTCCTCTTCTGCACCTCCTGCATCTCCATTAATGTTAAGATTCTGAGAAGCTGTATGAAGTTAGTAGAGCTAGATGTCACTAGGGAGACAGCACTGAAAGAATGGCATCTTGGGAAGTCTACCTACAATTGACAGAGGCAGAATAACTAATTTTCCCTCAGACATCAGCATTTAGCCCTGGTGCTCATGATGTAATAATCATACAAAATCTCTGAAGGTCATTACATTTAGCTAAGAAATTCTAAGTAAATATTTAAAGTAAAAAAAGGAGATTGTATATAGATTAATGTAGTCTATAGGATCATTAAACATAATTTGTTAACTCATAAAACATTGTATATAAATAGTGCTATCTGCTGTTTATGACATTTTCTCTAATAATACCACTTTTAACATGCTATTCTATGCAAAACCAATGAGAAACAATGGTTTTACTTGTAATTTTTGACTTTATTATGGTGAGAAAACAATATGGATTCAACAGAAGCCATAGTTTGAATTTTGATCCCTCCTGAGCTACCAGTATGAAGTGGACTCCTCTCTCACTGTGTTGGATGGTGCTATTGAGTTGCAGGTCCTAGTCAGACAGGAGCTCAGAAAGGTACTGCTATGCTATGATGGTCAGTAGGTTAGGGGTACTAAATGCATCTTCAACTTAGGATATTTTCAGTTTCTGATCAGTTTACTAGGACATAACCATCAGAAGCTCAGGGATATGTATAAGGTATGTATTTCATTCTGTAGTGAGTTTATTTTCATTATTTCTTCTCTCAAATCCATAATACTCTGACAGTTGTATTTAGATTGTGAGCAATGTGGACACTATAGTCATAACTGAGGCCATCAGCTGAAAGAAATGAAGATTTGTGTGCTGCTTATTTATCCTTTAACCTTCCAGGCCCTAGCACAGAATCTGGTACAATTGATACTTTTTTCATTAAGGAAAATGTGGAAAGTTTTTGTGGACTCTTGGAATTCTGTATGGAAAGAATATGCATGTCTCCTTAGATCTGGATGCCCCTGAACACATGTGTAGGCTACCATTTGGAATCCAGAATATCTAAAACCAACCTCAGCATCTTCTCTCTACCTCTTTCTTATTTTTCTAGCTCTATACTGAGGTAGTTTTTTTTTTTTTTAATTAGATGCCAAGATGGATCGCTTCTCGGACTTTTGGCTAAGATCAAGTGTAGATGCCAAGATGGAAACCTCACAGTCATGTTTAACTCTTACCCTGCTTGTCCAGGATGGTAAGCTAATAAATATCTTGCATGATATTTTCTTTACCAATACTTCCTATATTCAAAATGTTACTGTCTAGTTTTGTCTTTCCATTGTGGATCTTCCATTTTTATCCTGAAATTTCCTGTTCCGAGGTTATAAATTTCTTCTCTTGGTCTGTTAGAAAAAGGCCACACTGATAGTCTGCATAGAGGTTACTCCAGGATCTTCCTCCAGTGCACATTCAACTCCATGGATCTCAAACACAGTCTCTCATACTTCTCTGTGCCTATTTATTCCTACTTGGTGCTTTGATCCTCCTGGCACACCTACTATAGAGGCCCCAGCTGATCCTCTTTATTTCAACCTATGTTAAGGGGCAGGCTGGTTAAGAGCATCGTTTGGGAAGGAAGGCTGACTCTGGCTCACAGATGTGTCTTTACTCACTAACCAGACAACATTCACCCTTTTTTACTGTGAATTAACGTTTTCAGGAACCGTGAAACATCCTGTACAATTTGATTTTTATGAGATTTTACATCCTTGGTTGTTGCCATTATCCTGAGAGTTGTAAAAATCTAAATTCTTCTAGCTCCTTGATTGGTTTCCATAAAACACAAGATGAAATTTTACAATAAGACAATTATTGCTACTGTGCCAGAGGTGAAACAGAAATATGCAGTTCCCTGATTTGCATTCTCTGAAGGGTGAAGGTCGGTTTTAACCTTGTCTGCTGCTCAGAAGGCAGCTGTGTGTGTTTCCAGTTCTCCTCACACATCTGCAGAGCCGCCCTCCAAGGACATCAGGACCCTGCTTGGGAAATGCCCAGTTTGGCCAGCTCTCAGGAGGACTAAGACTCAATGGTTTTGTGTCAGCTGCTATGTTTAGTTATGCAGTAACTGCTCCCCTCTCCCACTTCCCTAGTCTGTTTTTGCTATTAGATCCACATGGCTCAGGTCTTGTGGCTTTGATGGTCTCCAACACATTGACATTCTCCAAGAAGTCTATGAATTTCCCCCCAAAAGGCCAGCAACTATTGCTCTTTCAGCACAGAACTCCCCGCATGTAACAGTCTGTTGGAATGTGGGGTTTTCTCTGAAATTCTTCGGTTAGCCCTGGGGGCCCTCAAGGGCTATGCACAGCACCATTCAGTGTCCCTTCTGAGATGAATACTGTCCCTGCTAGGCCAAAGAAAGGATGATTGCTATGGAGATTTTCTAGTGTTCCAACACTCTGGGAATGAATATTTGTTTCCTCTGGGACTGTTTTTCCCTAGTGAAAAAGATAGTCCTACTGTTTGTCCCTGTTGAAAAGATACTCCAACTGTGCTCCAGTATTCTAATATTAGACCCTGAGCTGATCCAGTAAAAATACTCAACTGAATTGATGAGAAGTAAGATTCTGATTCCTAGATAATGCTGAATTGTAAGACAGTGCATTCAGATGTTTTGCATTTTGTTGGAAATGATACAGGTTTGATAATTTTTGTTTTGAACAAATAAAGGCATTTACCGAAAAGTTGTATTTTTATCATAAATGGAGGGAAAAAAAGCTGGTAATTATTGCAGAAAAGAGATGATGTTAATAGAAAAAAATTACTGTGATACTCATTTTTCTAAATTCAATGCAGTTTGATTTAAAAAAACAATGCCAAGAAATCGACTCTGGTCACTGATCCTGAGTTTGGGAACCAGTGTTCTATGAGCTTATTGCTTTAATTGGCATATGCTTGGAGGTCCTCTTTCAATTCCAGAGAGGACTAGAGCAGATCATAGCTGTGATACCACCTTCTCTTCTCCTCTTTCCTCTATGCATTTGAACAACTCCGCGTTATCTTGGTTTCTAATGATTTAATATATGTATATATTTAAATATGGATTCTCTTTGTTTCACTCTCCATAATTAAAAGAGAGAGAGAGACAGAGAGAGCAAACTCATCCATTGCTTTGCTCCCAAACCACATGCAGCAGTCAGACTAGACCAGGTCAAAACCAGGGGCCTAGGACTCCAGCTGAGTCTTCCACAAGGATGGCAGGGACCCAAGTACTTGAATCTTCACCTGCTGCTTTCCCAGGTGCACACTGGCAGGAAGCTGATAATTGTGAGCCAAGCCTGGACAGGAATCAGGCACTGCAGTATGAGATGTAGGCGTCCTGAGAGGCGTTTTTAACAGAGCCCAACGCCCACTCCTCATTTATGTTTACCTTGTCTGTTCCAACCAAAGTGTAGCACTAGGTAACTAGAACGCATTGAAAACCTAATTATTTAAATTTATTTCTATATGATGCTTAGAATACGTAGACTTTTGACAAATATGAGTCTGTGTCTGTGTTCATGTATTTTGGAGGTTTGCTGGGATCATCATTTAACCCAGGCACATAAATGAAAGATATATATTTTAAAAGAAATAAACCAGTTTTTTAAAGAAAATAAGCCTTCAGGGTCATGTCTCCAGCTTCTTCTCCACTTGCAAATGAAGCTGGGAAGATTTAAATGTTAACTGAGTAGTTGTGACCCTGCATTTTAAGCATCTTTACAAACTTATCATTTCTGAAGATTTAATAATAATTCATAGTGTTGCACGGTACTTAAGATTCTTCCTCAAAAAATCAGGATTGTTTCTCATTTTAATGTACTTTTTAAACTTAAAATCATAAAATGTTCTTAGACTGACAGTTGAGCTTCAATATTTATGACTTTCTGATTGCTCTAGTAGCTTAGAAAAAATAAAAATGAGCTCTCAAGTAAAATTTAAGTAGAAAAGATTAAAATTCAGAATTATGGACTTTTTTTTCACTTGGATACTTACTTTTTCCTGGAAGTTTTATGTGTTTGTCACAGTTTCCCTATATTTGACAGTTCTTGAAAAAATACTAAATTTCTTTCCTAAAAATATATGGACAGTTTTATTTTTTTGAAAATGATCGTTTTTAGATCAGTGCAACTCATCTGGTCCCACCTCCCACTTTTACATTTTATTTTTGACTATAAAACAGCCACACAAATCATCCATCTTGCAAATGAAATGAATCATTTAGGGGGATAAGCTGAAAACCTATGTGTGAATGAAAATGGATAAATCATAGAACAGCATTATCTTTAGGATAGTTTAAACCACCAAGATTTATATCCACATGATTCATTTGTGATGTGTGTGTCCAATTGTTCAATCACTAACTTTTGTATAAATTCTTATTTTTGAATTCTGATATAATAGGTCTTATGACTAAGCTAACCCATGTTTCAGGCTTGGTGTAATGGCTCAGTGGCTAAATCCTTGCCTTGCATCTGCTGGGATCCCATATGGGCACAGGGTCGTGTAAATGCTGCTCTACTTCCCATCCAGCTCCCTGCTTGTGGCCTAGGAAAGCAGTGGAGGTTGGCCTAGCGCCTTGGAACACTGTACCTATGTGGGAGACCTGGAAGACATTTTTGTTTCTTGGCTCATGACTTCAGATTGGCTCAACCCTGGCCACTGCAGCCACTTGGGAAGTCAACTAGCAGACTGGAGATCTTTCTCTCTGTCTTGCTTTCTGTCTGTAAATCTGCCTTTCTAATAAGAATAAATAAATCGTAAAAATGCCCATATTTCCTTACCTAAAATACTGCTCTTTAATTAATTTATGATTTTGTAAATGTTTTTCTTTTCCTCAAATAGTGTATTTCTATAGTTTTTTAGGGGAGTATGTTGCTTATGTCTAATTCATTTTAGGTGGAGGAAGGAAAAACTGGACTACTTTCTTTAAGGTGTATATAATGCAACTTCATTATTCTAAACTGTAACTGCCATAAATAAGATTATGGATGTGACTAAAGAAAACTGGTGATACTGCCTGGTGGCAATAATCATGGGCTAAAGAGGAACAACTTCCTCTCTAAATATTTCACCATTAATTAAGCCTATATTTTCCTTCATTAAAATGTTTAAGTATGGGGCCAGTGCACTATCTTTCGTATTCGTTTTGGCATCCCAAATAGGCACTAGTTTGAGTCCCAGCTGCTTTACTTACAAACCAGTTGCCTGATAATAGCCTGGGAAAGCAGTTGAAGATGGCCTGAGTCTTGGGCCCCTACATCCATGTGGAAGACCCGAAGGAAGCTCCTGGCTGCCAGCTTCAGATTGGCCCAGCTCTGGCCATTGCAGCAACTAGCTGAAATATTTCTCTGTCTCTCTCTCTCTTTCTCTAGCTCTTTCAAGTATAACACATAAATCTTACAAAACATCTTAAGCCCATAGTGTTTTCTTGATTAGCATTTTTCTTTTCCACAAACATCTCAATGTTCACTGGGAGCACAGCGGCCAATGAAACAAACACAGTCTTAGCCTTTGAAGTATGAATGCTGTAATGAGTCCTGATGCTCCAGTATGCTTGTTTATTTGTTTATTACAAAGTTAGTTTGTGATATGAGGTTTTGGAGCTTTGTATAAAAGTCTCAAATTGTTATAAGTTGTCTATTGAGAAAAAAAGAGCCAAAATTAATAATTCAGGAATAAATCCCTATAGAGGGCACTGTACAATGGATGTGGTAAAAGACATTCTCTGGATTTGGCATTGGAAAAGTAGCAGATGCATATTACGCTGAAGACGAAGACCTCAGCCGTGAAGAAGAAAATTGAGCAATTGTCAGGATCAGTGGGGAGAAAGTATAGCAACTATGTCCTCACAAACTTGTACGGGAATTTTGTAAAAGGCAGAGAAAGGAATCCTTGCATTTTGTATATAAAACTTAAAAAAAAAGATTTGGTAGGTTTTATAATTTTGAGGATGAAATAGAATTTAATGCAAAGCTGGGCTTAGTTGCAAATAAGAAGGCAGTTTTTGGACATCCACCTCCTCTATCTCCCATTTCCCCCATTTTCCTTCTGTCTGTTAACTGTCCTGTTAGACTCCACATCGAGAAAATAATTGAGATTCATTCTATAGACATGTAGATTCATTCTCAAACTCCTACTGTGCTATTGTCTTTCATGTGTGTATGTGTGAACAAGACATTTGCTAAATCATCCATTTTTTATCTACAAGATAAAGAATATCAATAAACATATTGAAGGGCACTCTTATGAATGTATGGGAAAAAGGGAATTAAAACACAAGTTTATTTTAGAATGTAAAGTTTTTAAAATCCCACACCTTCTTGTGATATACATTTTCTGTGAAGTTTTGAAGATGTCTGCTATGTCAGATGTTTTGCAATAATACCAATGGAAAATGGAAATAAAAATCAGAAAAGTAGAAACTCCTTATACACTAAAGCATTATCGTCCTCCTGTGCCTAAATTATGCCATGAGGGAGGCCAGTTACTCTCTCCATAGAAAATCCTGTCACTTTTATCCTGTTTTCATCCCCAGTTACTCACTCTTGCCAGGCTGGTCCCAGATGGAACTTTGTAAGGTACATACTTCCTGTAGATATGACCAACTCTAGAACACGGAACATCAAACATTTCTCCTCCACACATCCAGACCTAAACAGTGGAAAGTATAACAAAAGAATCCGTGAGCTTCACATACACACACAAAAGGAACTAATGTAGGGTTCATTAAATAAATCTTAAAGTCTGTTAAAACTTCTAAATCAGTAACTTCTGTTCATTATAAATGGCTAATATGGAAACAAAGTCACATAGAGACTTAGAATTATTCAAACAGTGTCAAGACAGTAGTTCAGTAAAATATATTTTCCATAGACAGCACACTGACATTTTTTTAATCTAATAGAGTTCCATCACAGATATTGTGCTGAGCTCACATTTAGTGCTTTGATAGCTTATTATTTAGATATTTGTTTCAATAATCTTGTGAAATCATTTGAAGAAATAATTGGAATTTAAAATATTACAAACATTGAAAATATGAAAGTAATATTTCAGAAGAGGTGAGTGAATTCAGGGACAAAAATGAATTCATTGTTACGTCTAGATTTTACATCTTATATCAGTACTAGAAAACTTATTTAAAAATTTCTATTTATCTTCATTTTATTTGGACACAGAGAAATTTTTCATCTGCTGGTTGGGCTAGGCTGAAACAAGGAGGCAGAAATACAATCCAGGTCTTCCATGAGAGTGAAAGGCGCAGGTCCTTGAGCCAGCATCTGCTGCCTTTCAGGATGTGCGTTAGCAGAAAGCTGGATTGAAAGTGATGGCATGACTCGGTCCTGGGAATTCTGATATGGGTTATAGACATCTTAGTGGCGACCTGATTGCTGAACCAAATACCTGGTTCAAGGTTAACTTCACAAATCCTAGTTTGTCTCATTTCTTCCCACTATTATTCGTCTATGGATTTAGAAAAGTTAAACTTTAGTTTATGTGTTAAGACGGTGTACTTAGAAAACAAAATAAACTGGTATTTCTTGCCATTTACCCACTCAGACAGACACAAACTTAATTGTGGTTTTTTGTAACAGACTATGTGCTATAAAAGGGCCAATTATCAAACTTGAATTTTTAGCTACTTATATTTTTAGCTACTTTCATTGCAAGAAAAAAATATCTACAGGCATTAGAGCCACTCTCATGTTGACTTTTATGTGTCAGCTTGTTTGAACTGTATTTCCCAGATGTGTCATTCTATGTTATTCTAGATACTTTCTTGAAGGATTTTTTTAGGTTTACATTAATATTTAAGTGAACTTTGGGAAAACTGTTTCATTCACACTTCACAATGTGAATGGATCTCATTTAATCAGTTGAAGATATTAAAACAGTAGAATATCTTTGAACTTGAATCGCAACTCTTCTTTGGATCCCCAGCTTGCCAGCCTTGGACTTACCAGCCTCCATAATCATGTGAATAAATTCCTTAGAACAAATCAGTCTAGTTGGTTTCATTTATCTGGAGGCCATTGAATAATATAGATGGATATTTTAAAAAAAGATTTAAAAATTTGTATTGGAAAGTCTGATTTGCAGAAAGAAGGAGAGACACAAAGAAAAAGGTTTTTCATCTGCTGGTTAATTCCCCAAATGGCTGCAACAGCTGGAACTGAGCCAATCTGAAGTCAGGATCCAGGAGCTTCTTCTAGGTCTCCACTTAGGTTCTGGGTCTTGAGGCTTTGGGTTGACCTTTGTTGCTTTCTCCGGCCATAGCAGGGAGCTGGATTGGAAGTGGAGCAGCTGGGACATGAACCAGTGCCCATAAGGAATGCTGGTGCTGCAAGGTGCCAGCCTCAGGGATTCATAATTTTTGAGTGTAATATTGAAAGAAAAATGTTTTATATTTTCATTAGCATTTGCCTCTAACTTCTATTACTAAGAGAAATGATACTTGAAGTGAGACTGATGAATTAGATAATTATTAAAGTCAACCAAAGACCAAGAAGGTAGCAATGTAATTATTAAAATAATACTAATTGCCTTAATTGGGTTCAGGCCTATTCATTGCATTAATTTTAACTTGATGAGATGTTTATTAAGGTCTAGATAAAGTTATCAGAAATATGTCTGGATGATAAAAACCTGATAATGGGCAATGACAACTTCCAATCAAATCTGGAAAGATCTCTGTAAGGTGAAGATATATAAGATGAAGTGTTTAGGTGGGTAAATAGGAGAGCTTATCTCAGAATCTAAAACCAACTCCCAGAGCAAGAGGGGTGGAAAAGACTGAGAAGCACAAGTGACCAGAATAATACAGAGAGTTTAGGGATCAAGAGCCTAAACCTTTCTGTGATCCTGAGGTCTTTTACAAGTCAGAATAAAAGTATTATATTCCTCTCTAAAGGAAAATACAGAGGTGGGAAAAAGGACACAAATTGAGTCTTAGGAGAAGCAAAGGAAAGAACTGAAGATGTATATTCTTGATAAGATAAAATTCAGGCAAATTCTTTCAAATATTAGGAGAACCTAGCATTTGGAAGAGGTGTTTTATGTAGCCTCAAGGAGATAGTATAAGGTTTGATAGCATAGATCCCTAAGGGACACATCTAAACCAACCAGAAAGAAGAAATTTCAAATAGAATGATTAAAAATAAAGCTTCCTGTACTCGCAGACATGTTGAAATCTGCAGTGTATGACTCTTTGCAGACAAGCGCACAACATGAATGGACCTTGCTGATATTTTTGAAGTACTTTTTCTAATAACAAGAATGAAGATTTATGAGTGGCTTTTCATGCATTGTTTCATTTAATACTACTGACTTAATGACAGATTTTATATAAAATAGGTCAGAAAATGCCAACTTAGATTAAGTAGCTTGCTTAAAGCCACAATAACTGGCTACCTCCAAAACTGAGATTTGAAATCAGGTTGTCTAACTTGAGTGTTTGTGTGTTTAATTAACAATCTGCCTATAAGTCAGAAAACTTTGTAAAAGGCCACCCTGTAAATATTTTTACCTTTGAGTAGATCTCTATGGCTCTTTTTTTTTTTAGCCTATGACTCTTTCAATTAGTAGATGTGGCTGTATTTCAGTACAGTTTTGTTTACAAAAACAAGCAGTGGATCATGGTTTGCTTACCCTTATTCTATATAATACAAATGACTTTCAAATATTGAAATTCAATAGTCTAAGATCATGTATGTAGGAAATGGTATTTCCCCAAATGAGGCATCACAATGTCTTTCATTGTACTTGTTCCCCTATAATATGACCTTGGTACCTGCCATGGTTGTTTTGCTCCTGAACCCAGTCAGATGATTAAATCCTCAAAGTCATAAGTTGGTAGTACTAAGAGGATGGAAACTGAATCATTTTATGGTGTTTAGGAAGTAAGTCTGGTTGGAAAGTCTTAGGTTGTTGGTGGGATGCTTTCAGAAGCTTTTTCTTGAGAGTTTGGTTGTAGGAGCCAGAGTCACGCCCAGTTACTCTTTGCTCCCTTGCTAGCCATGTGATTCTTTTCCTGACTATGCTTTCTTTTGCCATGTGATGCTCTGTGCTACCTTGGTATTGTACCAACAAGAATGCCATTACCAAATGCCCATTTCCTACTAGTTATGGATCAAAAATTTCCCCTTTCTTTGTATGCAATACATTGGTCTAGGATTCCTCTCTTCCAAATCTGGGTGGGCTTGTGAATTCTTCTTTTTGTTAAAGATTGGTCATTTCAAAGGCAGAGTTATGGAGGGTGGGTTGGGTGGTAGAGACCTAAACCTTCATATGCTGGTTCACTTCCCAAATGTCCGTAATGGTCAGAACTACACCAGGCCGAGGTCAGGAGCCTTAAACTCCATCTGGATCTCCCACATAGGTGACGGTGAACCAGTTGCTTGGACCATCTTCTGCTGCTTTCTCAGGCACATTAGCAGGAGGTGGATTTGCAGTATAGCAGCCATGGATCAAACTGGCACTCAATGTGGGATGCCAGCATTGCAGGTGGTGGAGTGAATCCGTGGTGCCACTAAGCTGGTGTCAGGCTTGTGAATTCTTAAGTCAGTAGGGTGACAACATAAATGACTAAAGCTAGGTGATAAAAAGCAGCAAAGCTTTTACCTATCCATTGGGTTACTCGTTTTTGTAATTGTAAGCTATCTTGGAAGAAATATAATTCTGTGAGACTACCACATTTTTAAAGGTTTAGGCTAAATCATGTGTAGGATTGGGTCAACAGCTTCTAGCTCATGATAGGTACCAATGTCTTGACATACTGTTAAACTACAGTTCCACCTCCTTTGTACTTAAGGTAGGATCATGTGATTATTTATTATGAATGGAATGTGGATGCATGTGATATATATCACCTTGGGTCTAAGCAGTTATGAGTGGATTTTCTTCTCTGTTCTCTTCACCATTTTTTCCCCTTGAAAACTGATCAATTGCAGAAGAGTGCGAGGAAGACTAACTAGAGAACAGTAGAATTATCAAACTGATAGAGCTTGGGCCTCTGAGAAGTTGGTCGGAGCAGAGTACACTTCTCTCCTTTCTGTGAACCTGGATCAAATTGTGATATGAACAACAGAGCACGCTTACTGATAGTAAGCAAGCAAGGTTTGGGGTTGCTATAGCTGTTGGTTCAGCCCAGTTGTTAATCTTTTTTCTCAACTTTTCTTTTTGACAATTTAAAATCATATATAATGTCTTCAATTATCTCAAAGATTACTTCATTTTATGGCTCAAACAGGATTTTTTTTTTTTTTTGCTAAAACTCATGCAGACTGTTAAACACAAAAACCCTATGTTAACAATTAATAGGCTAATATTAATGCTTGATGGATTAAGACTGATTCAGTTATGGAGTCTGGAGGCAGAGGCCTTAGGGAACTGGTTGGGTTGAATTAGGTCGCTGTGGTGGAACTCCATGATCGAATCATTGTCAATTTAACATGAGCAGGCATTAAAACAGAGCAAGAGCATTTTTCCTCTGTGTTTGCTTTCTGGATTAGCATGTGCCTGTCCCCTTGTCTTTCTTCTATCTTACTAGATGCCTAGGGGCCATCTCATCTTGGCCTATAAAAATTCCAAAAATGTCAGTCAAAATAAACCTTATTCCTTACTAAGTAGCTCTTCTCAGGATTTGAAATTTG